GTTATTGTTCTTGTTCTCGTTCTTGTCCTTGTTCTTGGTATTGCTCTTGTTTTTATTCTTGTTCTTGTTGCTGTTGGTGTTGTGGTGGTGGTGGTGGTGGTAGTGGTGGTGGTGGTGGTGGTGGTCGTTGTTTCCGCCTCCACCAAGCTTACAGCCGATAGCGGGTCAACGCACGTACAGTTCATAAAGACCAGCCCTTGCATCCTGAAACTACACATCTCTACATGGTAGTTGAGCCTTGAGCCTCTTTAGGTTGCGTGTCGCAATTCAGGCAGTAGAACCTATACCATACCCTGCCGCATGTGAGGATGACCTCCAAGTAGCATTGTGCGCTAGGGGAGGTTGGAAATTTCCATAAACCCTAAACCCCAAACGCCTAAAGGCCCTAAACTAAACCCTTAAACCCTAAACCCTAAACCCCCCTAAACTAAACCCTAAAAGTCCCAAGCGGTTGCAAGGTTCTGCTCTGCAGGGCTCGGTCCGAGGCTTGGTTTCGTAGAGATTGCGAGTGAATGTTAGGTTGATGCCTCGAACCTCCCTGCAGAACTGTTAGGGGTCTAGGATTTAGGGTTTAGGGCTTAGGGCTTGGGGTTTAGGGTTTAGGGATCTTGCTTACATAGGAGCCTTAATTATTAGAATCGGGATTGGTGGGGCACATGATTTCAGGACCCTGTCAATAGGAACCTAGGTAGCATGTTCTGACCTCCGCGACAGGTGCCTCGAATTTGAGATTCCTCTCAGGGCCCACGTACCAGACAATCCCGAGAGCCCAGCTCCCCGTTTAAGTAAGGAATATGGGCAAGTTCTCTAAATTAGGGTCCTTTTTTAGGTCCCCTATCTATACAATATATATATATATATATATGTATGTATATGTATATGTATATATATATATATGGGTAGTTCTCTACATTGGGGTCCCTTTTGAAGTCCCCTATATAGTCCGGCACTCTGTTCTTGGTTTCAGAAGGCTTGATGGTCGGAAGGGCATGAGATTCCATGCTCCAACCCACAGGTTTACCCAATTTCGCTTACTTCGCATCCTGTAAAGTAACCGATAAAGAGAACTACAATGGAGACTCTAGGTACAAAGTTGCTACGGTTAGGACCTGCTCTATGACTTAGCGTTCCGGGCTCAGGATAAACTCCAAACCCTCGGCCCTGAACCCCTAAAGCCTAAACCCTAAACCCCCGAACCCCTAAACCCAAAACCCTAAACCCCTGAACCCCTCAACCCCAAACCCTAAACCCCTGAACCATGCCAAGAGGGTTGAGGCTTGAGGGTCTGGTGAACTCATCTGCCGTCTGCCGGCTTGAAGCGGAGAAACACTCTACTCAAGTTTACGTAACATAAGGGACGTAATACTTAGAGTGTTGCTTTGGAGATTGTTCCCAAAAAAATGTAATTAGTCAGGACCCTTGAGGATCAGACTCTGCAATCATGTCGGCTTCTCGGGTCGAGATTAAACCCACAACCTCAAGCCCCAAAGAGTAACTGCGAAACCTTGTGCCTGAATGACCTAAACAACGTCGAGTTAGGGTTCAGGCTGAGGGTTTAGGGTTTGGGTTCTGGGGTTTAGGGTTTAGGCTTAAGGAGTGGGTTAAGGCTTAGGTGGGTTAGGGATGGGATTTAGGACTTAGGGTTTAGTTAGGGCATTAGGATCCTTACTTAGATGGATCGAAGCCTTAGGCAGCGTGACCCTTTGCCAGGCACGCAAGACAATAAGCCGTGAGGCGCAGCCTTCTGCCATGTCCTCCAAGGCACACATGGAGAGCTTTTCCCAAGCGGGTTCAACTGTCCACAAGCTGTACTTAGGCTCTTCTCCTGCCTTCTGGATGCCAGAAGCACAACAATTGAACCCTCTGGGTTCTTGAAGTCTTTCAGTTCTTGAACGACTCTTGTCGACCAGCTGCTACAACTACGGGCCGGTCAAAACATTCTGAACACAACGAAACGGGAGCTGCCGCAGCCCGTACAAGCGCGCCTCACGGAAACCGATATAGGAGCCCAGAGCCAAGGATGAGCCGAATTTCATACACTTCTGTTAGTAAGTAAAGGGAGTTGCCAGACATCATATACCGAGAGTCGAGGCTCCTATACTGTTGGTTGAAGGGCAAAGTCCTGCATTTCCATAGCAAGGAATATAACATATCAGTTAGCTAGTTTAAGGTTTTCAAATTGCTGCAGGATTCTGTCCGTCAGCCGCAAAGCAGGGGCCTGAATCATTAGCTGCACTAGTCCTTAGGGTTCTGTAATACATGCAGCATATGAGAAACCCGCAAAGAATCCTTCTCTACTTGTTCCATACCAGAGCCGTCACTGTCGGAACCCTAAATTAAACTGTAAGCCTGGATTAAACCACAAACCTCTCAGGCCCCCCATATGTATATCAAGGCGTCTCACAGCCAAAAGAGCTGCTTCTCCGGGACGGGTGCCACCGGCTCAGGCTTCGGCGCAGTCCGCTCTTGCCGGGCCAACTCTGCCTCACAGCCAGCGAGACTTGGATCTGACACTTCGGTATCTTCGTAGGTTTGATAGGGTTCTCTATGAGTTTCATCTTAAAAAACGAAATATATATATATATATATATATATATATATATGTATATATGAGGGTTTAGGGTTTCGGATATAAGGTATTTTTCTTCGGGTTGATAGGGTTCTGTATGAGTCTTATATATTTAATGAAAAATATATGAGGGTTTCAACCGGTGTGTAAGATGTCCATGTCATCGGTGAGCTTGTGGAGGTGTGTTTATAGACGATCGACCAAGGCCTGAAGCCCTGCCTAGGCGCCGAATGCTAATGTAGGGGCTTTGCCCCCAAAACCGTATTCGAATAATTGAGGCCCCTTTCTTACTGTAGGGACATGACAAGGTACTCCTACAATCGGAATTAAAGGTCTGCTGCTGACCGGGAGCCATTGAATCAAGAGCGCAGTCTAAGCCTGAGTTTGCAGGCAGTTTGTAGGGATGCGTGTGACAGTCTAGTTCAGGGCACAGGGTTCAGAGAGCTTTGGGCTTTAGGGTTAAGGTTAGGGCTGTGACAAACTATCCCTTGTATTTCTTAGAAACCAAGGATGAATTAAAAGGTGAGTACAAGGTGAACAAAGGGTGATCCTGTGTTTCTCGCAAAGGGTGATTCGGTGGGTTCAAGCAGTGAACAAAGGTGAATGCAGGGTGAACCAAAGGTGAATGGAAGGTGACTAAAAGGTGAAAAAAAGGTGAGCAAACGGTGAACAAAAGGTGAACCAAAGGTGAATCAAAGGTGAACAAAAGGCGAGCAAAAGGTGAATCAAAGGTGAATGAGAAGTGGTTTAAAAAAGTGAACTTAACCTGAAGTAGCGGCAGGATCAGCCTCTAGTTCAGGGGCCTTTTTTTGCAGATCCCGGGGGACCGTGGGGTTTAGGTTCGGCGTGCAGAGATTACATGTCGAATGAGAAAATGAGACATTGATGATGACGGTTTGCTGCCATTCCGCTTCATGTTGTGGGGGTTCAACTGCACAGACAGAACACTCAGAACGCTAGAGGAGTTGCGATCTTGCTCCGAATGTAAATCTTTCTTGCAGGATCTTCATGCAGCGCAAACGTAAAGATCTGAACAAGTGGCTGGAGCCCTAGACCCTAAAAATCAACCCGAACCCCGAAAAGCCCTCAACTCAACTTAATTATAACAGACCATCACGGGGGCCTGGGTGTTGTAAACCCACGCGTACACAGTTCTACGCGTTGTTGCTCGCATACTGAACTACCCTAAACCCTAAACCCTAACCCTACACCCTAAACCCTAAACCCTCCACCCTCAAAGCCGACACCCCAAACCTGAGCTGCCAACCCTGCGGCGTCTGCGTGACTCCTGCTGGAGCTGTCGCCTTCCGTCAGGGTTCCATGAAGGGTTCTGCAGAGGGCTTTCGGGTTAAGGATTTTAGGTGGCTTCAGGGCTTCTAGGGGGTTGAACTGAGTGCGTAGGATTCGACGTTGTAGGGTTTCGATTGACTGCCCCCAAAACATGTTTACTGACTATCATGTCTAGAAGACTCGACCGTACGGCCGAGGACTTAGAGGTTTAGAGGCTTTAGAGCTTGGGGATTAGGAGAAAGGGCTTGGCTTGATTGGTGTTCTCAGGTCTTAGGATTCAGTTTTTTGGGGTTAGATGTAGGCCGCTAGTTGCGAAGGCCCCTACCTTTACGAGGGACTGTAATGCGTGGGGATCAAGTCACTTAAAAACAGTGGCCGATTCATCACCTGGGTGCTATGGTTGCGCTAGGCATGGGTTTCTTTTCCCTAAATCCTACACCCGAAAACCCAGACCCTAAACCCAAACCCCTACACACCTTCTCCCGAATGTTCATTTTCAGGCGGAGCCCCAGTCCCCCGCTTGGGGTCAAACCCTAGATGTGAACCCTAGACCTGAACACCTGAAACCCAAAGCCCAACAGCATAAACCCTGCAAGAAGCCTTAGGCGAACCTGAAAAGCAGACTTCCAGATACAAAACCTCTAGACCCCAAACCCTTAAACCCTGGACAACCCTAGACCCTCAGCCTTAACCCTATTACTAAGCCCTAAACCCTAAACCCTAAACCCTAAACCCTATATTACTAAACTCTAAACCCTAGACCGGACCCCCTGACAGGTTAGGGCGTGGCGGCTCTGGAGTTCAGGGTGTAGTGGGCCCGAAGCCGGTTTAGGGTTTAGGGTTTAGGGTTTAGGGTTTAGGGTTTAGGGTTTAGGGTTTAGGGCTTAGGGTTTAAGGTTTAAGGTTTAGGGTTTAGGGTTTAGGGTTTAGGGTTGTTAAGAGTGGCCTGCGAGTCTTCGCGGACTTCGCGTCACAGAAGTGGCAATGCGAGCCTGGGGGCGATCGAGGGAGGCCCTTGGGTTTAGGGCTTCTGGGTTTCAGGGTTCAAGGTTTTAGGGTTTGGGGTTTAGGGTTTAGGGTTTAGGGTTTAGGGTTTTAGGGTTTTCGGGTTTTCGGGTTTAGGATTCAGGGATTAGGATTCAGGGCTTAGGGTTGAGGATTTAGGGTTAGATGGTAACGCAAATTCTAGAACCTAACGGTTCCATGGAACTGAGTCGATTACGATTCCCCAGAAGACCCCAAACGGCAAGCAGAAAAACACCCCCACACACACACACTATTACCCTGAACCCTATTCAGAATCTTAATAGCTTAAGTAGTCGGCTCAGAACCTGAATAGCTTAAGTAGTCGGCTCATTTAGCAATTCAACTTCAGATTTTTCAGCTTTTAGGCACAGGGTCCACTCGGACCACAAAGATCACGAACGAATCCGAGATCCCTCAACACTCCGAGCCGACACGAAAGGGGGAGCTGAACAACACGAATAGGGTTTTGGGATATATTGCAACCCAAAGGAAATAGTTTCGGGTGAAGGGGTTAGTGAATACTAGTACGGATGATTCCGCCTCTAAATTATCAAAACCTCCTGCTGCTTGATTGTCATGCACATGCTCTCTAGGTCTCTGTACGTCGACATATCTTTATCACGTCTTCTGTGTATACCACCAAACTCTCAACACCAAGTCCCAGGACCCAAACTCTGTTAGAGTTTGCGGTTTATGGGCCAGGATGTAGGGTGTGACTCAATGGTGGACGCCCGGAATTATATTATGGAGAGTTTCAGCAAACAGAGGACCCGACATTCGACCCGTTGCAACCAGCCCAAACGTCCGGGCACAACTGAACCCGAACCCTGTGCACGAATATTACGCGTCACCCAGGAGGACCCGACACTTTATGTTGTATATCCGGGTCAACAAATTTTCCTGAAAGTCCCAAATTGCTACAAACTCTTCCACAAGAAACTCTGAACACTAGACCCCAAGCCTACATCCTAAATACTACAGCCCGCCCAAGACAAGCGAACTCTTCCATCAGCTGGTGCCAGGGAACAGCTGTCACCTGCAGGTGGGCATGCTGTGGTTTAGGGTTTAGGGTTTAGGTTTAGGGCTCTTCTTTGACTGATGATGTTCCCCTGAAATCTCAAAATCCTGAATGCTAAAACCTGTCTCTTTGAGGGTTCTCATGTACAAACCACTAAAGGACCAACATAGAGCCCAACGCGGAACCCTGAAACGAAGCATCCTCGACAGCAGGATACCCATAAGGGGCTGTTTCTTGCTGTTTCAACAAGAACCAAAAAGTCGATCGAAACAGCTGCTTTCGAGGGAGCTTGCCAGTTTGATGTGCCCCCGGAAAAGCCACCAACCCTGACTATCCTCAACTCCCTCACGAAGTCATAGAGCTTGGAATAAGCCTTGGTTGGTATGATCGGCTGCAGTATACCAACTGATGATGATGATGATGATGCTGATGATGATGATAATGGTGTTGCTGACGACGATGATGATGATAATGGTCATGATGATGACGCCCCGGTTTAGGATGCATATTGCTCCTCCCGCTTGTAGCCCTACTTGCAAATCCTGAAGTAAAGGTCCTTGAAGAAGACGGATGCCCCGACGACTTTACAATCAACTGTAGGCGACACCTGAACGGCAGTTATGCAGGGTAGGTGGCCGGAACGGAGATTTGCAGGACACAACCAGGATGAGCAATGAGCAAGTCGGCTGAGGCATTCCCAAGTCCGGCCTTTGAAGCAGCCACCCTCGCGGAGGGCGAAAGCGACACAAGGGAAGCATGCACCCTTTCGGTGCAGCTGCCACTTCTCCTGACGGGCTACAGGGATTTAGGGTGTTGGGGGGTTTGCGTTTAGGGTAGCGGGTGGAGGGGCAGAGGGTAGTATCAGCACAACACCGATTGTTATAGAGTTCACACATGATGCAGGACGCTGAATCAGACATTCCTGGATATGGCCTGGTTTCTTAATTCAAAAGGTCCCTAGTATTCTACATTTGCTGGAACTGCAAAATGAAGGTCTTCATTTAAAACATGTTTGCACATAACTGAGGGTTTCTTGCAACAAGGTGGTGCAATGTACAATATCGCTTTCACTGATCACGACCGTGTGTTTTGATATTGAACCGAAGAGGGCATTTGAGTGACGACGGCTGCTAAGATCAGGCACAGGCGGGGTTGCTATCAACGGCACCGCGGAGGCAGCGATGGAGTTGGCTCTAATGCAGTGCTTGCGAGTGCGATCAGCGGCAGCGGCGATGGTGACATCGTGCTTGCAATAGTGACGACGATGCAAAACTCGATAGTTCTTCTGACACACTCTTGCTGGCATCGCCGCACCGGCACCAACACCACCACCTTCACGAAGACGACGGTTAAGACGAACACAGCTCCTACGAATTACTGCAGTTGCTATGTTTGTCAATGTTTGTGCCTGGCTAGGGGAGTTACGTGGACCAGGGCACCACCACGGCAAACAACCACAGCAACATCTAAGGCTGCTAAGGGGCCCAAGGGCCTGAAATCTAGAGGTACTCCTAAATGGTATCCATGGTAAATCGAATCACGCAGCTTGTTGGTCTCATTTCTATGGGATTCTTTAAGGCCTTGACAAGCGCACCAGTTCTGGAACAGCTTTCCATGCACATGAACCAACTTATCATCGCTGTCATGTCCCATGGAAGCACAACTTCAAGGTGACAGCAGGAAAGCCGAGCACACGAACCGCATCATCTGCAAGGGCACACCTCCGTAGGGCAGACCAAAACTCTGATACCCGATTCATATCTCCCATACCCTCGCCCCACAAACATCCGCTAGCTACTAAACCTTGTTAATTACATATAGGCGAAGAGCTCTCAACCCTAGACACCCATCCTTCTCCGACATCTCGCACCCAGACGTCTGCCTCGGCTGCATCAGGGATCTAGACTTTGGGTCTAGGGGTTTAGGGGTTTAGCTTTGGGGCTCCAGAATTTTATGTTAGGGGTCCTCCTTTGAATCTATCCTAGGGGCCTTGGCACCAGTTCTTCAGGCGCTTCGAACTTCTGGCCCCCACTCTCTCCTTGAGGATTGGGTCAGAAGCACTTTGCAGGAGGCATCACGCACAAAGTCCGGCGGTTCCCCCATGACTGAATAAAGATAGCGACGAAAGCAATGAGTGGGAAAGCGGAAAGGAGTTCAAACAGAAGTCCCAAATTCCAACCAACATTAGGATGGTCTTTTGGGGCCTAATTCCATAGTGGTAGTGTATATGGGCCCTCTGAGTGTCTCTCGGGTGTTGAAAAGGTTCCATACGGGCATACGGAGAATAAATGGTATCCCCGTTTGGCCCCACCATTCGCCGTAATATACAGTAGCGCAAGACTCTCTTCCATCTATTCGCGCCCCTCTATTCTGTATTCTGCTACAGAACCAAACCTTAACACCTTTGTATACATCGAATGGGACCCTGTACATCTGTTCGTTATGATGTGGGCGACGAAGCGTCACTGCCCTTGTAGAGTCCTTTCGGAACACGTGTACATCTCTTCAAGGACCAGGGACTCCAATAAGGGAACCCCTACCCTTACAGAAGGGTTTAGGGTTTAGGGTTTAGGGTTTAGGGTTTAGGGTATAGTGCCCTGAACCCTTAATTCTCCTGCTACACAGGCTCTTACTGCCAGGGGTATGGCCCCTGCCCTAACTCCAAGAATCCTTAGCCCGTCCTTGCATCGGGTTTGGGTTGTGTGCTTGGGATTTGGGATCCTTAGCACTCTTGACTCCAGGGGCCCTATGCCCTCACAGAACTCAAGAAACACTAGACCTTGCACCCTCTGATGAGAGCCCAGTCGCACTCCCCCACCAGACGTGAAAGCATCCAGGATCTCTTCGTGCTTTGCGGTCTTTAAGATAGCCTTGGTTCTCAAGCAGGTTCAGTGCGTCGGGTTTAGGGAACTGAAGAGAAACAAGCCAACGCATGCTGGCTAAGGCACGGGAACCAAGTCCAAAACCAGCAATATCGAAAACTTGCTGGTTTGTAGCAGGGAGTCATGGAATGGATCCCTATCAGCCTACGAGTCCCTTAAGCTCCCTTGTAGTAGTCCGTAAAGCCCGCTCCCCCATTCCCTATTAAGAACCATGGAGCGAAACGCGTAGTAACTCCATAGCCCGGTAGCTAGTTCGAAAAACGAAGCCCTAACCCTCAAACCCATGAATGGTCCGCGGACGTCTAGCACAAACCCCCAAACCTAGAAGCCAATGAACCCCCAAACCCATAAACCAATAAACCCCTAAACCCCCGAGCCCTAGCACCTAAACCTTGCCTTAAGAATAGAATGGGTGACTATTTGAGGCCCTTTAGGGTTTAGGGTTTTGGGTTTAGGGTTACTCCAGAGCCCGGTAGCTTGACGGGTCTCGTCACGACTCGGAGTGAAGATGTCTGTCCTGAGAGCCATGGAGCTGTCGATCACCAGGAGGCTGAGGAAACTGTTTGGGAAATAATAATGTCAGATAAAAACAGGTAAGAATATTTATATCATTGATTCAGAAAATGATGACCGTAAACCCTAAACCCTAAACCCTAAACCCTAAACTTAATAAAAATCCAGCAACTACAAATTGCGGGGATCTGGCCTTGGAGTCTTGGGGCTCGGGCTTAAGATTTATTTAGAGCTTAGGATATATTTTGGGTTTAGGATTTATTTAGAGTTTAGGATTTATCTTGGGTTTAGCATTTATTTTGGGTTTAGGACTTATTTTCGGTTAAGGATTTATTTAAGATTTAGGGCTTCGGGTTTAGGGTTGAGGTTTGGCTCGAATCGTGCTGTCCAAGCATGTTGTCGAATTCGCCGGTATTGGCCTGCAGCCAGAGATTGATCCCCTGCACCCACGCGCCTTCTGAAACTTATCCCAACCCACAATTCTAAACCCAAACTCCTAAACCATAAATCCCAAACCCTAACCCTGTAGATTGGGTTGAGGTTTCGGATGTTGGATAGATACCCTTCGCCGATGTCCCACAAGCCGGACACCCAAACCACCAAGACCCCGAAGCCCGAAACCTCCCCAAAAGCCCTGAACCCCGTAACCCAACGAAAGCAAAAACCCTCCGACTGACCTGGGCCAACCTAAACCCCAAACCTGAACTTCAGATCTTGATGGAGCATGCGGCGCTGTTTAGGGTTTAGGAAGGTTTAGGGGTGTAGGATTCAGGGTTCAGGTGTGGGAATTGGGGCTTATAGGGTTGGGTTACGATACGGGGCTTAGGCTTTCGGGCTTGCGGTTGCGAAATCGGGAAACGGAGGTCAGGGTGCAATGCAGGGATCGGGCCCATTCCCACTCAGAGTCCCTCAAAGAAGTTTTCGTATAGTATACCCAGAACCCTGTTCAAATTACTCAGGCCCCTGTACTAACCCTCAAATGAACCCTCGTAACACGAAATCTTGTAGAAACCTCAAAGATCCCTGCTTTCGCCCGAAAAAACCCTATAAACCCATATTATACAAGCCTCTGCTTGGGGTATGAACCCTCCGATCCAAGGTGCGGCAACTGTGGAAGCGGCCAACGCTGCTGGATTGCCTTAAACATTAGCCATTTATTTGTTTACCATAGATCCCAATTTATGGTAACTTAGATCCCTAAACCCTAAACCCTAAACCCTAAACCCTAAATCCCAATTTATGGTAACTTAGATTCGTCAGCGAGAACCCAACTTGCTTGGAGGGCCAAGTTCAGAGCTCAGGCCTTGGACCTGGGGACTTTGGGTTTAGGGTTTAGGGTTTAGGGTTTAGGGTTTAGGGTTTAGGGTTTAGGGTTTAGGGTTTAGGAGCATGTACGGTTTGGACCTTGGGGTCTACGGTTTACGACTACCAGGGCCAAGCCAGAGGCCAGTTTATTCCCGATGCGGCCACCCTGAAATTCAAGCCACCGAGAATCGGAGTTCAGCAACCCTCGTGCGCGAGAATCGTTTTTTGACCCTCGTTCCCTGGTTCTTAGTAGGGAATGGGTGAATCCTAAACCCTAAACCCTCAACCCTACTGAAACCTCGCAAAGTTGGAACCGCGCGACCGTCGGAAGAAGCTCAGGTGATGGGTCCTTTCGTCAGCGCGCAAAGTGCAGCGAGGCTTTGGGTTTAGGGTTTAGGGTTTCGGGTTTGGGGTTTAGGGTTTAGGGTTTAGGGTTTAGGCAGCTGATGTAGCGCCCTGATTGATAACACTCGCCATCCCGTAGTTAAGAAAGTGGGCTTACGAGTCAGGGGATGTGATGGAGTTTTTTGGTGTCACAGCCCTTTCAGAGCTCCCGGTCTAGTATAGAGTTTGTTGAAGTAGTACCAAGCAGGTGGTCAGGGTTTAGTGTTTACGGGTCTAGGCTCCTAGAGCTTGTCAGGTTCAGCGACCTCCATTTCTTACTTTCCGGGCTTGACGGTTTCGAGTGCAGGCATCGCAGTTCCGGTCTTTGTAGCAGCTTGAATACGTCGACATATGTTTCGTACCTTCCAAGCTGCCGGGTAGAACTGTTCAGGTCCATAAATCAGGTTGTCGGTCACTGAGTCCTGCACCTTGCAGCGTGGGCCAATTCTGCATACAGTCTTCGCCCCTTATACGGTCGCTGTTACGCGGTGGAATGTCTTAAGGACAGTCTCGGCACGCGCCACAGGATCAATTTTCGGGGATTTAAGTTGGATCGGCCCTTGGGTTTGGGTTTAGGGTCCTATGCCTAGCTTGTACTTACAACCCTACTTCCTAAGTCCCTCATACTCCAACCACGGCTCGAGGATCTAAGGTTGCTTTTCAAATTTGGGAGTTTTGGTGCTTTGGCGTAGGGTGCAGTACTTGGAGGATCATGGGACTTAGTAAGTAGGGTTATAATTAGGGTACCTATATTTATAACCCCAATTAATGGACTTATAACCTTACTTACTAAGTCCCATGATCCTCCAAGTAGGGCCAGTAGGGTTTGCTAAGATGAAAGCCAGCCGTTAGCAACGGGACATCCTCAATCCGAGATGTTCGGCCCCCCCGGCCACGAAACCCCTTGAGCTCAAGGGTTTAGGGTTTGGGGTTTAGGGTTTAGGGTTTAGGGTTTAGGGTTTAGGGTTTGGGGTTTAGGGTCCCCTGGACCCCAACCTCAAAAAATTCTGAGGCCCCTAGACTCCGAACCCAAAGCCCAGACTCTCAGATCCTTCAATCCCGAAAGCTATTCATCTCTGAGAGCCCACCCCCTCCCCAAAAGTCCAAGACCCAGGACATCTTCAACAACAACTGTCAAGGACATACAGCCTTACTGTAGGGGGCCTTAATCATTAGAATAGGGTTTGGGGTATATTATACTATAGCTATAATAAGAAACCCCCTAAACTCTACTCTAAAAACAAGGCCCCGAAACCCTGAACCCTTATAGTAGCCCCTTTGGAACCTTTTCCGGAACCCTTTACAGGAACCCCCAAACTCTATTCGAATTATTCAGGCCCCTACATTATGCTGTAGAAGACTTTGCCTTCCCCTTCGAAGGAGGCGACCGAGGCTGCCAGCGTGGCACCCTGCAAACTCGATTTGAGGGCTGGGGTTCGGGGATCTAATATCGGGGCCTGACTACTTGGAGGATCATGGGACTTAGTAAGTAAGGTTATAAGTCCATTAATTGGGGTTATAAATATAGTTACCCTAATTATAACCCTACTTACTAAGTCCCATGACCCTCCAAGTAATATCGGGGCCTGACTAAATACCAACATTGTTTTGGGGGTCCTTGGTACAAACATAGTATAATGGGCCCCAAAACCCTATTGTAATTATTAAGGCGCCTACATTAGAGTTGGTTTGGGGTGCTGACGATGGTTAGGGTCCTAGGGTCCAGGTATCGAAGATAGGGGTTTTGGGGTTTTGGGAGTTGCAGGGGGTCAGGGGGTTCAAGGCTGGCTTTGTGTCGAGTGTCTGGTGTGCAGCTGGACATGAGGTTTTGGAGGTTCATCTTGTGGCATATGGACGAATGGGAAGCTGGCAGAAGATGAGCTCACAGTGTGTGGAGCGCTCACCGGCAGATGTCGCAATGTTCGTGCGTTGCGCAGAGGTCTGTATGTCCTTCTTGTGCAAGCAGTGAACTCCCTTTACAGGGTCAGTAGCTGCGCGGCTGCGCGTGTCATTGGAAGGTTTACGACATCTTCTGCAAGAACTCCGATGCATGGCACGGAGAGCCAGGGAGTCTACAGCACAGCGAGCCCTAAACCCTAAACCCTAAACCCTGAATCCTAAACTGCCGATCTTGCGAGAAGA